TACCTAGACCGCAGCGACTGCGCATCTAAGGCGGACCCGCGTCGACACGAACCCCAAAGCCCTTCAGACCCTGAAGCTTGTATCGTCCTCGTGCCCTTCAAGACTCGGAGGCTGTAAATGCCTCGGCCTCAAAACAACAACACACGGAAGAAAACTCCCGAAACCTGAAGCTGGCTAGGACCTTGACTTGTGATGCCTTTCATGGGGCACCCAATGTCAAGGCTAAAATAAGTAAAGTCAGCAGAACTACCCGCCACCAAGAAAGAAACCCGGAACCTTCCAGCCTAAGCCCTTTCCTTCCAGGACCCTAACTAGGTTCCTAGAACCCCCAAGGACTATAGGGCCCTAAACCCTGCAGTCATGAGTTTAGGGTTTAGGGTTTAGGGTTTAGGGTTTAGGGTTTAGGGTTGTCATGAACCCTAAACTACGTCACGCGCAGGGCTCTGACGCGGAGTCCTTTGGAGCTTCATCCGTGCACTCCTTTGGCGACCCGTCGCCTTTGATGACGCCCGGGCACCCCGTGGATTTGTTGTTTTTTTTTCTCCACTTCCTTTGTTGGCTTTTGTTGAGGGTTGCGGGTGCAGAGGCCCCACGCCCTAAACCCTAAACCCCAAACTCTATACTCTGAACCCTAAACCCTAAACCCTAAGCCCTAAACCCTACAATTGGGTTAAGGAAGTACCCCGAGAACACCCCTCAGTTGATCCGAGCTGCTGCTACGCGTGGGATGTTTGGGGGGTCTTCGGGCTCGAAAAGTGCCAGGGTGGCGAGGGCTACAGAGCTTTTGAGAACCTCGCAAAAGATTCTTGTAGTAGGGCATGTATACATCCCCCTACCCAAACCTTTGAAGGGATTATTTAGGGCACCTAATTCCCGCCATTCCCTGCTAAGAGCCAAGGGGCTCACAAAGGGCAGAGTCTCAAACTCGAACCATCTAGGTAACAAGCCCTTAGGGTATTTCATCCGCGCACTTACTTTGTAAGTTCGTGGAGCTGCTGAGGATCCCAGTTAGCCACATTTTGTTCGCAGGGGGTTCAAATTTCCCCGAGCCTTGGAATGCCCACACCGCAGGCTTCAAACCCTGCACCCTCATACTGTGTTTAGGGTGTAGGCTTAGGGGTGAGGGTTTATGGGCGTCTGGCAGTCAGCAAGTCCAGCTTCAAGTGGGTTTATGCCTCCTCTGTAGTGGCTATTCTTCTGCGACTCGATCGTTGCAATGGGGTCAAGGAAATCAGACGAACACCCGATCACCCACGCAAGTTGAATCCGGCAGCCCCTGCCTAAAGACTGCGCACATCACCCAATCACTACAATCGGTAGGTTCTCAGTGCGCGCTGTTCAATGTCAAGTCCGTGTGCAACTGCAACGAAATCCGTGAAACAAAGCACGCTTAAGGGAACCCAGCGAAATTTACCGCACCATGGTTGTCTAGTTTTACAGTGTTGGTGATGCTGGCTTCCTGAAACCCTTAACCCTAAATCTAGGTGGGCTCGGGAGTATGTTCTGTGGTTTGGAACTTCATGGTGCCTCAGAAAAACGGTGAGAAAGGCCATCTTTTGCGCCACTTGAAGGCTCATTAGGTTTCTTATATGGCTACCCTACTTATTACCCTACTTACAAGTACCCATGAACATCCAAGCAGGATTGCCAAGACGTCCTCACCTGGAAGGTTAGATATAGTGCTTGGCATAGTCAAGAGTCCTAAACCCTAACACTCTAAACCCTTCAACCCCTAAGCACCCCAAAGCCCAAAACTCCTTAAGCCCCTCATCCCTCAACCCTAAATCTCAAACCCCGGGCCCCGAGCCCTACAACTCTAAACTTAAGCCCTTATAAACCCTAGATCCTAAAACCTTATGCCCTAAACCCTGTTCCCTAAATCCTAAACCCTTTACACCCTTCACCTGAAGCCCTAAACCCCAAACCCCTGATCCTAAACCTTAAACCCTAAACCCCGCACAGCAAGACATCCTAAACTTCTCCGGCTGAGGCCGGCGCAGAGTCAGTTGCAGGCCTCTTCTGGAATTTTCGTTTTTGGCATGCTCGTGTCAAGTTTGGGGGGGGGGGGGTGGGGCGGGTGGGGAGGGGGGGGCGGGGGGCGGGGGGGGGGGGGGGGGGGGGGGGGGGGCGGGGGGGGGGTGGGGGGGTGGGGGGGGGTGGGTGTTCCCAATAGGGTGGTTAGGGGTTTCCGGGTTAGGGGTTAGGGCTAGGTTTGGGTAGGGGTTAGGGGTTAGGGTTAGGGGTTAGGGTTAGGTTTAGGGGTCAGGGGTTAGGGGGGGGTTAGGGGTAGGGGGAGGGGTTTAGGGGTTAGGTGTGAGGGGTTGGTTGAGGGTTAGGGTTAGGGTTAGGGGTGTTAGGGGTTTGGGGTTTGGGGTTTGGGTTGGGTTAGGGGTTAGGGGTTGGGGTTAGGGTTAGGGGTTAGGGTTAGGGGTTTAGGGGGTAGGTAGGGTTAGGGTTAGGGTTTGGGGGGGGTGGGGTTAGGGGTTAGGGGTGGGGTTAGGGGTTAGGGGTTAGGGGTTAGGGGTAGGTAGGGGTTAGGGGTTTAGGGTAGGGGGTTGGGGTTAGGGGTTAGGGTAGGGGTTAGGGGTGGGGTTAGGGGTTAGGGGTTAGGGGTTAGGGGTTAGGGTTTAGGGGTTAGGGGTTAGGGGTTAGGGGTTAGGGGTTAGGGGTTAGGGGTTAGGGGTTAGGGGTTAGGGGTTAGGGGTTAGGGGTTGGGGTTAGGGGTGAGGGGTTATTAGGGGTTAGGGGTTAGGGGGTTGGGGTTAGGGGTTATTAGGGGTTAGGGGTTAGGGGTAGGGGTTAGGGGTTAGGGGTAGGGGTTAGGGGTTAGGGGTTAGGGGTTAGGTTAGGTAGGGTTAGGGGTTAGGGGTTAGGGGTTAGGTAGGGTTAGGGGTTAGGGGTTGGGGGTTGGGGGTTAGGGGTTAGGGGTTAGGGGTTAGGGGTTAGGTTTAGGGGTTAGGGGTTAGGGGTTAGGGGTTAGGGGTTAGGGGTTAGGGGTTAGGGGTTAGGGGTTAGGGGTTAGGGGTTAGGGGTTAGGGGTTAGGGTTTTGAAAGGGGCTTCTTAGACTTTGCCCTAAACCCTAACCCCTAAACCCGAAACCCTAGACCCTAAACCCGAAACCCTAAACCCTGGACCCTAGACCTTAGAACCTAGACCCTAGACCCTAAACCCTATTTTGGGAAACACCCAATAGTGATTTGCCAGAGGAGGCAGCTGTGCAGTTCAACTGTGTGTAAGGGCGAGGCAAGAGCTCAGAAGCCTACTGCATCAGGGTTTAGGGTTTAGGGTTTAGGGTTTAGGGTTTAGGGTTTAGGGTGTTTTCTTCCTACAGGCCGCACTGTCCTGCCTGTGGAACTAGGCGAGTGCGTGCGGTTGATTCGATTTTGGCTTGTGTGTCGTGTAGTGCTTAAGCCCGACCATCCTGTTCCAGTCGCACCTATCCCCTCTTGTTTCGAGATGAGCCACACTGGCATGTTAGATGAAACGCGATTTGCCTTTTTTTCTGAACCGCATCCTCCGTTCCTGCCCCAGGCTTCTGGGACTGCGGGAGCAGACTCAGGCCAGCCAGGCTTTAATTGGCAAGATTTAGGATCAGTAGGTTAGATTTTGGACCTGGGGCATCTAGGGGCGTCCCTGCAACCCCGGTAAATGCTACGAAGTCTGAATTTGCAAATAGCCTCTAAGCACGTTTTCGCAACCCAGATGGTGCTAACGATCAGGTCGTCCCTTTGGGAAGTGTTTCGTCTTCCCTCATTGGGACGGAGAGGATCCCAGTTAAGGCCTCTTCAGGAAAGGGAAAGCGCCGACGAGGCACCGGGTTTAGGGTTTAGGGTTTAGGGTTTAGGGTTAAGACCGAGCTGACCATTCGGAGGCCGGGAAGCCCGAAGCCCCAAACCCTGCAAACCTTGCCATTCCTGGTTTACATCATGGGATCCCACGCACCCCCCCCCCCCCCCCCCCCCCCCCCCCCACCTAAACTATCCCCCTACCCCAAAAGGTGCAACGAAGTTTGAGCCAAGACTTATTGTGAAGTTTTGCTTGTCCTTGCTTACTTGGAGGTTCTCATGGGTACTTATAACCCCAATTAGAGATTTACTTATAGCCTACTTAGACAGAGGACTTTAAGGAGGCTTATCACAAGCCCTGTTGATGGGCCGGACTTCTTGAGTAGACCCTAAACCCCTTGCAGCTCGCAGCCACTACGCAGCCACATTGGCCCAATCCACGTCCATGGCGGAAGGGCGAAACCCAACGGACCCTCCGCTACCATGGCAGGCCCGGTGCTACATGACTTACGGGGGTTGTAGAGACCCAGTCCTTGTGTTTTGTGGGGGGAGGGGTGGGGGCGAGCGGCACGCTCTTCGGCAAGAAGTTAGTTGCCCAGTCTTCAATGACAAATGTCAATTTGACTGCGTGATGGTTTGAAGTAGGCAATTGCTCATGTTGCGCAAAGTTATGTTAGGGGCTAGTACTCATCTCCCGTGAAGCTACCACAAACTTGTTTGAAACACATGCTTTGATATGCAGCTGTACGGCGTATGGTGTGCATTCTTTCTTCTGTACTAGGTGTTTATTGCGTTTAAAGTCTGCCACCAAAAAGCTCAATTAGCTGAAGTCATTGGATTGCATGCCAGAAAAAACACCTTAAACATCGAGAGGACCCATACACATGTCCTTAGATCATGGAACCGGCATAACCAGAAGCCTCCTCATGCTTTTCTGCGCTCCAAACGGCTAGGATCGAATGTTGCAGGGGCGGCAGCCTCCTATGCCAAGAAGTTGGACCCATGACCTTCAAGTCTGCCTCTGCATCAACTCGACAGCGCGCATGAATGAGGGCGGTGCGCATTTAGAAGTTTAGGGGCTTAGCCCAGAACCGGATAAACCCGTCAGCCCCTGAAGCCCTATAAAGCGTAGCCCGAATCCCGGCTCAAGCTGAAGTCCTGGCGGTGACAAGAGCGGAGAACGCACTAGTTGCTATAGTTGAGATCGCAAAGTGATGGCAAAGATGATGTGGGCCATGTTTCTCATGCTCATGCAGCTGGGAACAGTGAAGGCATGCGACAGCTATAACGACACCAACGCGACCTACTGCGAATCGATGAAGGATGACGGGTGCACATGCGTCTGGATGAACTCCACTTCGTCCTGTAGCACAGGTTCGGTCTGCGACAATACCACCACCACCACCACCACGGACCCCAATGCCACCACCACCACCACGGACGGTGGCTTCCTTAGCCAATAGTTGAACTTCAAACTTTTTTGTTGGGTTTCCTTATATTTAGTAGGAAGAATACAAAGTTTAACCCCCCTTTTTTACTTCCCTTTGGGTTATTAGGAAGAATACAAAGTTTAACCCCCTTTTTTACTTCCCTTTGGGGTTATTGGAGAAGTAAGGTGGGGGTGCCTCCATCAGTGCGGGCCACTGGGCACAGCCGGGGCTCCTGGCGGTTCCTTAGCCAAGAGCGGACCTTTTAAACTTTTTGGGCTTCCTGACTTGGTAGGAATAATAGCCCTAAACCCTAAACCCTAAGTTACTGAATCCCTGGCTATTGGAGAAGTAAGGTTCTGGGACTCCTCTTGCTGACCCATCTTCGCTGAGAGGGGCTCATTTGCTGGGTGAGCCCTGCCAGGATGTCCGCTGCTCCGCAATAGTATATGTATATATATACATATATATATATATAACTTCATACTACGTGTAGATTTTAAGATGTAGTATAATATGTAAAGGTAGAATGCCTATGAGATCAAGCGAGTACCTTAAGGGCGGCGGTAGAGTCTGTATCATACAGGGAAGAAGACGTCTTCCCGGGATCCCATGTGGGCCAATGTGCCAGAGTTTGACGCATCTTCCGCGCGAACTTGTGTCGATGTACACGAAGTTGCGCTCACAGCTTGTTTCTGAAAGATCCCAAGGGTTCGCACAGTTACATCGTACCCTGTAAACCTTATAACTGTATGGGCACCATCAGATCTTCAGTTCAAGCTCCGGGAGCTGTTTGTGAAGTGCTCAGCCTGTGACACTTCGCTACCATCGACAGCTCCGACCTACGATCATAGGTAGTCCTGTATGTAGGGTTTGAGATATACATGATCTTCCCATATTGTCGTAACTCTTATTTTGGCATCGTTTCAGAGGGTTTTAGTGGCCAAGCTATAGCTTAATTAACATGAAGCAAGTTGCAAAGCGGCGCCTGTGAGAGAAAAGTCGAGAGGCCGACTCCTGATGTTTCCTGTTTAGGGTTTAGGGATGAGGGCTCTAGGGTGTCGGGGCTAAGGTCAGATGTACAAAGCCAGAACCGGGTAAGCCACTAGGAGTTGCTACCCTAAGACCTAAGCCCTAAACGCAACCCTGAGTATCATGGTCTAGGACCCAGAGCAGCGTCTTGTTCACTTTTTCTTAGGGTTTTGGCTCCCTTCAAGCCCCCTTAAGCCAAAATTCATTCTTGCGAGGTTGCTCTGGGTCCTTTCAAGCTCCCTTTAAGCCAAGTATGGTACAGTTTTTTATTCCGAGGTTGCTCTGGGTTCCCTTCAAGCTCCCTTTCAGCCAACCTGAACCCTAAACCCTAAACCTTAAGCCCTATAAACCCTAAGCCTGATAAACCCTAAACCCTAAACTCTAAACCCTAACTCTAAACCCTAAACCCTAAACCCTAAACCCTATAAACTAAACCCTATAAACCCTAAACCCTACAAACCCTAAGCCCTATAAACCCTAAGCCTGCTACACCCTAAACCTTGGGAGCGCCTGTCCGCTCGAAGATGAGAGGCCCCTTCGCGGCCTCCAGCTTCTTCGTCTCGGGCGCCTTGTACCTCGGATTTTCTATCTTTTTGTTTTTTTTTTTTTGGGGGGGGGGGGGTAGGTAGAGGGTTTAGGGTTTGGGGTTTGGGGTTTGTGAAAAAAGGGTTCGGGGGGGGGGCGGGGGGGGTTCGTGGGTCTAGGGTGTAGGGCGTTAGGTGGTTGTAAGGGCTTTTTCGGCTGGAGAGGGCTCCGAGATGTTTTTTTGCATCTTCGGGCTTATAAGTGAAGGGCTTGGGGTTTAGGGCCGTTTAGGGTCTGGGTTTAAGGTCGCCTGGTTGGGATCCCTTCTACTACACCGTAGAACCTACACCCTAAACCCTAAACACTTTGACGCAACGCTCTGAGAGGGCTCCATGCGCCTGTTGATCCTGCGCGTGCCTCGTATGTCCCCACCAAAAACACACGCAGAAGGGTGCAGGGTTTTGGGTTTAGGGTTTAGGGTTTAGGGACTTTCAACCCTCAACATCCCTCAGCTCCAAACCCTCTTGCAACTGTGTGGCAAATCCTCAACATCCCTCAGCCCTAAACCCTAGAGTTCAGCGACGCGGGTGGCGAAGAAGCACCGCCACAAGTCCGTGCTCTCTCTTTGTGTTCGTCCAGTTGGGTGCCTAAACCCTCAACCCTAAACCCTAAACCCTCAACCCTAAACCCTAAACCCTAAACCCTAAACTTCAAACTCTACCCTGGTCTGTGCGCACGTTCCTTGACTTTCAGCCTTGGGTTTAGGGGGTCTAGGGTGTGCAGGAAGCACATTCTTTGAGTCCACCCCCCACCAGAGACCCTAAACCCTCAACCCTCAACCCTAACCCTCAACCCTAAACCCTAAACCCTAAACCCTAAACCCTAAAGCCTAAACACACTTTGTGTCCACAGCTTCGAAGGGTGCCTCGAGGTGCTTTGCTAGGGAAGCGGGCATCCGAATCGCGGTAGACTGGCTGCCCCAGGAATTTCAGGTTTAGGGTTTAGGGTTTAAGGTTTAAATGAGGGGGCCCCTTAAAATATCCCCCCAATTAGTAAGGATTCCCTTATAATAAGGACCCCAAAGAGGTACCCCCCCCCCCCCCCTAATTTTCGGAAACCCCCATATACTAATCAGCCAAGGGTTGTCGGATGATTCGGATGCCTTTTCGGCGGACTCCTGGTGTCGAAGAACCCCCACTTCCCGAAATGTATGTTTTTAAAGCATGCCCAAACCGTAAACCCTGGACCCAAACAGCCTTCTGCCAAGGCTGGCAAACCCTATAAGCCCTAAACCTTCACCCCTAACCCTAAACCTCAAAACCTGAACCCTAAACCCTACACCCCAAACCCTATCATTCTTAAAAAACCGAGGCTCTTGATGTGCGCCGTTGCAATCGGCGCGGCCGCCTCTCGGTGTCATGGGGTTTTGCGGGTTTGCCTTCATGGCTACGTATCAGGGGGATTCGTCAATCAGGGGTACCCAACAACTTAGTAGCCCAGTGGTACCATTCACCCTTTTTCTGGTTCTGGGTTCCCTTATAAAGTAACCAACCCCAAAAAAGGGTGCCCTTATTATAGCATGGTTACTGGGCTACTAAGACCCCCACCCTGCCCCCTCCCTAACAATCACTCCAGACTTCCCCTTTGTTGCTTCAGATCTGGAAGCAACCCTTTGCAGGGGAGATTTCGGGGGATCTTGTGCATTGGGCTCCCCGTACTGCGCGTATTCCCTTTTTGTTTTTGGGGCTCCTTTTTTCAACTGAATATTCAGAAAAAGGGTATACCCTTATCAAGAAGGGGTTACTGGGGAACCTAGATCGGGCTCCCTTGGCTAGAGTTCTGATGGCAAGGTGAAGTTGGCCATGCACCGAAGTGCCGGGGACGGTGGCGACGAGGCACAGATCCTAAACTCCCCAAGCCCATGACCCGCAGAAACAACTTAACGAAACAACCGGATATGCTCAATATGTCAGGGCCGTACACCAGAACAAGAGAGACCAGCATGTTGCGAACTGCACGAAAAGCATAGAAGGGGTGACGGAAAAGCCCCAGAGCAGGATGAGCAAGTCTTGTACTCAAACCCATTGCCCTTCAGACTCGACGCCGCCCGCGAACAAGGGGCTTCCCCTGCACCCATTTCGGGTTTAGGGTTTAGGGTTTAGGGTTTAGGGTTTCGGGCCTAGGGTTTAGGGTCTGGGGTTTAGGGTTTATTAGTAAAGCCCAGCAGGGCTTGAAACCCTGAACTCTAAACCCTAGCTTAGAATCAGGATTTCAGGGTTGTGGCTTTTTGGGGTGCGGGGCTTGTCGGCTTATAGAGTTTCAGGACATTGCTAATCTGTGGCTGATTCGCCCTGTAGTCCAGATCAAAATGATAGGGTTTTTCGGGGTTTAGGGTCCACCATAGCACACATGAAGACAAACGCTCCCCAACGCTGCTAACGGTTCTAAAGGCATCGCCGCAGAGCTGCATGTGATTCCGAGGGGGAGACAGTCGTAGAGGTAACAGCGTTTGAAACAGCCGCCTCCCCTACTCCTCAACCCTAATGTTGACTTCGCATTAATAAACCCCCCCCCCTTGATTGATCAATCTCTCCGGCCAGGGCCTCCTCAATTATATTCGCCTAAATCCTGGTAGGACGTACTATTAGTTTTAGTATTAGGTAGTAGCACCACGCCCGTAAAAAACGAATTTTCCGGGTTGGATTTTACAATTGTGGCGGGTTACAATATTGTGTTCCGGCAGCTGGATTTTACAATTGTAGCGGGAATCATTAATGTGAAGTCAACATTAAACCCTGTATTCCTCCACCAGGCCCTACTCGAAGCCCCAAATCTCTAAGCCCTGACCCACAGGCGCATTTTGTGGCTTCTGCCAAGTCCGCGCGCTTTCTGCTCACGCCGCCTGCTAGGGCTTTTGAAGGTTTCCAGGGTTTCGGTTTTCTTTGAAAATTCTTCATAAAGTTGTATGGGCCCTAACGATTCCCTTCATAGCCCAATAAACTCATAGGAGTCCTAAACCCGAAACCCTAAACGAAGAGGGTCCCCAAATCCACCTCCAGTTTACGGGTGTTCCGAGTTAGGAATCTGGTCGCAAGGACTTAGTGGCGAGGTAGGCCTTGGGACATTTGATATTCTCCCTTGTTGGGTTTAAGAGCATCATATTCAAGAATATCGATCAGAGGTAATTAAGGGCCGTCCTAGGTTATCTAGGCCTCAGCAGTCCCCAGACTCAATTAGGGTTCCTAAACCCTAAGCCCTAAACCCTAATAAACCCTAAACCCTAAACCCTAAACCCTAAACCCTAAACCCTAAACCCTAAACCCTAAACCCTAAACCCTAAACCCTAAACCCTAAACCTTAACCTTGAACCCTTATGAAATCCTCCGCCCCACCCTGGCCTTGAACGCACTTTTTGGGGTAGTTATCGAAGTTAGGCTCCGCTTTTGGGTCCCCAGATAAGTCCTACACCCTAGCCCTAAACCCTAAACCCTAAACCCTAAACCCGAAACCCTAAACCCTAAACCCTAAACCCGAAACCCTAGCCCTAAACCCTAAACCCTACCTATATATGTACCCCATTGCTTGAAACCCCCTTTGAATGCCCCCAAGGGTGAGCGCTGTAGCAGCGATTGCCGTGGACAGCTTCGTGGAGGCTGCTGGGCTGCGATTTCGGGTTAGGGTTTAGGGTTTAGGGTTTAGGGTTTTAGGTTTTATAGGGTTTATAGGGTTTATAGGGTTTATAGCTTTTATAGAGTTTATAGAGTTTATAGAGTTTATAGAGTTCATAGAGTTTATAGGGTTTAGAGGGTTTAGAGGTTTAGAGGGTTTAGACGGT